AAAAAGAAAGACAAGAAAGGAAAGAAGAGCGAGAAAGAGAAGAAAGAAGAGAACGAGAAAGAGAGAGAGAAGAACGAGAAAGAGAAGAGCGAGAGAGAGAAGAAAAAAGAGAAAGAGAAGAGCGAGAGAGAAGAAAAAAGAGAAAGAGAAGAGCGAGAAAGATAAGAAAAGGAGAAGGAAAGACAACACGAGTTAGAAGTATTGCGGTTAGGCGGGAAGAGGAAAACGACGGAAACGAGTGGTTTCAATCCGGTAAGGAACATCAAAATAGTCCCGAAATTCAACGAAAGGGAAGTTTCGAAGTTCTTCGCTGCTTTCGAGAAGGTTGCAGCCTCTTTGGAATGGCCAAAGGAGAATTGGGCCATCATGATACAGTCCGTCTTGACTGGGAAGGCCCAAATCGCCTACTCCACATTGTCCCTTGATGACTCCTGTGATTATGACAAGGTGAAGAAGGTAGTGCTCATGGCATACCAGTTGGTGCCTGAGGCTTACAGGCAGAAGTTCAGGAACCTGAAAAAAACCTCGGAGCACACGTTCACCGAGTTCGAGACCATCAAGGAACGGCTTTTCCAGCAGTGGTGTGCCTCTCGGAAGGTGAGGATGAAAGAACAACTCGAACAGCTCGTTTTGTTGGAGGATTTTAAGGAATGTCTGTCTGGAGATCTGAAGACATACCTAGAAGAGCAGCAGGTAGAGACCTTACGAGCAGCAGCCACTATGGCTGAAGAATACATCCTAACGCATCGATCCTCTACTAGGTATGTTCCTAAGAATTACCCACGCCTGTTTGGCAAACCTCGTCAGGAAGAAGAGAGACCCGTCCCACAAAGTGCTATGAAGACGCCCCCTAGTAGTCCCCGAAGGATTAGTCCTAGCAGTCCGAAACATAATAGTCCAAGGAGGAATGTAGTGTGTTGGACTTGTGGGCAGAAAGGACACGTCGCTGATATGTGCCGAGGCAGAAGAGGTAGCGGTCCACGTAGGGAGGTGATGTTGATGGGCTGTGTGACACCATCAGTAGGAACCCAGTCTCTGATGACTAGTCAGGAAGGACCAGGATTGTTTGTCCCTCACACTTCAGGCGGGTATGTAACGAGTAATCATACAGGTAGATCAGTTGTAGTGCTCAGACATAGTGGAGCAGCCCAGTCCCTGATCGTGAGACTCGTTACCCGAGGGAGTGAGTGTAGACGGGAGACAAAAGGTTGTCCTGGTTGGGTTTCCTATGACGCGGTGCATTGCCCCCTTAGTGCCGGTACATCTAGACTCGCCTTACTTCAGCGGCACATGTGCGTTGGCAGTAGTTGATACCCTGCCTATAGCTGGGATTGACGTGATACTAGCCAACGACTTGGTGACAGGTTGGAACGACGATCATCTCAAGATTGCGGACGAGTCAGCCGGAACGGCGAAAAGGTCTGAGGTAACAACAAGAGACAGTAATACCCAGGTACAGGCAGACGTGAGATTATATAACTTGTTTAATCCTTTCTCTACCCAACAGATTGACAGCATTCTAATAGGTTCTCCTGATTCCTCTCCCGACAAGAAACATGAGGTTATGATGACAGAAGCGACTGAGCAAGAGGAGAGGCTTCGTGTACAAGTACCCACGGATACCCAAGAGTCTGGAGTGAAGGCACATGAGTACTTGCGGTATGGCAAGGTACAACGTTCATTAAACCGGCCAGAGATTCCCCAGACGTCAGAGGTATGTGAGGTAGGTGCGCAGACTCTAGTGCACTCTTTGATCCAAGCCAGGCTAATGGAGATCGCCAGCTATGGACGTGATAGGCTCATGAAGCTGATTCCTAAATGTTTCTTGGCAGTATTTTGTATAATTCTTATGTGTGTTCTAAGTAAAGACCAGTGGACGACCCGACAGATGATGGCTCCCATGAACATCATGAAGAGACCCCAGGGATTAAAGACTTGCACTGTGAGTGTTGCAATCGAGGAAGGGACCTGGAAGGCGATGATGGATACAGGGAGTGGGAGATGTGATATTATGGGTAACTGTTTCCGACAGGTTGACACTCCCCGCGTGATTGCCGAACCTGGATTCAGCGTTATACGGAACGTTGGTCGACCTGACGGTGGCAGAGCGAACACCATCTTCAAGGTACAAGCAGCCCTGTTGGGACTAGGTGTGGGCCTAGTAGACGATTATGCTGTAAGTACCGACTTAACAACTATCGCTGTTACTCCAAATTATCATACCCCTGTATTCCAGGTTCCCGTCTCCCTGAAGGACGACCAGACCGGTGTAAGAAATGCCGTCTGTGACCAGCCACCAACGGTGCCACGACACAGGGAGGTGTCGATTCACCCCACATTTCGCCTGTGCCGATCCTTACTAAAGACATGTGAGATGATTATGCCCCTGATTGCTTTCTCAGTGAAGTTGTATGAAGTCACGTCAGGCAGGACATCACCTATGATCCTCAAGTTTTTCTTGTGCCAGAATCTCCCATTAGGGCAGTTTTGCGGACAAGACATCCTCGCCACTCCAGTCCATTGTTTATGTGAGTCCGCTCGGAGTTGTACCAACGTACTAATTTGGTTTGTTTTCTCTTTTATAGAAACCCAAACCAAATTCTTTTTGGTGGGGAGGTGTTACGGACCCGAGTCCATCGTCGGAGCACGGAGCAGTGACGACAACGCCATCTGTGAGTCCGCTCCCGAAACCCACTCCAAATGGACGACGCCATCTAGTGGTGACAGGATAGGCCAGCAATAAGTGTTGGATTCCTGTCCTAGTCAGCTCATGACGTAGCCGCTGCTGACCTCTGGTGAGGTGGTGCTTAGACAGTGAACGCCATCTATGGAGTGAAGAGGTGGACGTTTCTGTCTAAGCTTGTGAATGAAGCGTCCCAGTATTAATGACGTGTCTGATTGCAGAGTCGACCTGGGACTGCTGTGTTGGACGATGGATCAGTCTACCCAAGGTAGCCAAGGTCTCCTCATCAGTCTGCTTTGAAGAAGCTGTGAGCCATCACTGGACGAACTCTGTTGAGAGTAATAGCCTGCCTGAGGAGTGGCAGTGTTGGGAATCGCCACGCAATCATTGGTGGATTTTGCAGGAAGTTCTCCCAAGAGGGGTGGGCACTGTATGTCTCTCTCCTCCAGGCCAATACGTCTGAGAGTTTCTGTTTTAGTTTCCCAGAAAAACCAGGAATGAACAGGTTAGGGAGGATCCATCTCCTATCCTCCAACCGTGTGGCCAGGGGCCTGAGAAGTTGTTCTCTGGTCTTTCTGCGTAGTTTCTCTTGGGCATGGTTTCCTCTATGCCTGAACATCTCCCATAGGTCGTCTAGCTGAGGGTAGAGTGTTTCGTCCTTGCTGTTTATTCTTTTAAGGCGTAATCCTAGGGAGAAGGGTAAAGATTTCTTAAGGGCTAGCGGATGGCATGAGTCGAACTTCAAGTATGAGTGAAGGTTCGTAGGTTTGTAATACGCCTTCGTGTTCAGGTGTGAGGTTGTTTCGTCCTCGTACACCGTGGTGTCCTGGAAATTTATTGTGGTGTCGTCGTGTTCTGGGGTAAATTTGATATTTCAGGGGTTGTGTTCGCCCAGGCAATGAAACCCTCTAGACGTGGGAGTCCTCCTACCATGACTCCAAAGATATCGTCTATATATCTGTAGTACACTGCTGGGGCGTCTTCTCTGTGGGATCTCTCCCTTTCAAAAACTACATACATAAAGATGTCAGCAATAGCTACGCTACTGGACGCTCCTATGGCAGTGCCCTTCGTCTGTCTATATGCCTTACCATCGAATTGAAGGAGGGTATCCCTCATTACATGGAGTATTGCTTCCTCCAATAACTGCCTGTGAGGCAGCCTCCATACTCCCGCTTCTCGTAGTTGCTGTGTAATTTTGTGTTTGTTTTCATCAAAAAAGATTGCTACTACTTTGGCTGCCTCTCTCTCTGTGGTATGCTCGGGTAGAGCGATACCATATCCAATGAGAAAAGGCAGGCTCCGCTTGGAACTGGATTTCTGATGCTGGCTATCTTGTTCAGGAAGTCTGTTGTATCTTTAAGGCGTTCCGGTAGGAGTCGTAGAAGGGGGTTGAGGAGGGCTGTACATATCCAGTCCACCGGTGTGGTAGGTGCCCGGCAGCCGCTCAGCACTGGTCTGCCCTGCCACGTTCCTGTGATCTCTCTGTTGTTTGTGAATCTTTGGCAGAAGAAAAAGGTGTGGGATGACAGATTCAAAAGCTACGTAAAAGTCCCTTGCCTTTGCTTGCATGAGCCCACCATTCTCGTCTTGGGCTTTATTTTCAAAAAGCTTGAGGACTAGTTTCCTGCTCCTTGTCTGGGCGTTCTTCAGAGCAGCGTCTTGGTTTGTGATCCGGTGGTACGCCGCTGTGTCCGCCATGTGTCGTTCCATTTCCCGTGTATAGTTATCCTGTCTACAGACGACGACTGTGCCTCCCTTATCCGCGGGTTTAATCACGATGTCCGTTCTCGACTTCAGTTGTGGGACATTTGGGCTTGATTCTGATTAATTAATGTAGTAAATTAAAAATTGCGAAGGACCACCCGCATTTAAAGTAAAGAGGGAAACTGAGAATTTCAGATCATTGGATAATTTCTAGAGGAAACCAGTGACTATGGATATAACTAGAAAGCATGATCATAATAATAATTAATGGGCTGTATTATTAAAGAAACAAACCTAAACACCTACATTGGGGGGTTATTACTGGAGGTAAGTACGTCCAGGAATTAGTGTGGTTCGTTCACTAATTCAATTAATAAACTAATCCTATAAGGTAATGGTGAAACTAATATCATTCACATAAAGAGGAATATAAATATGAGCATAATAATGAGTTACAGTAAATCATACATTAATCTCAAAGCACTCTGCACAAATTAATTGCAAAGGAATGAAAAAAAGGGAAATAAATCTTAGCTTGACGGAGATTCCTTTAGTAAGCCATAGAAGTCCTCTTAATCTCCAGACTCGGTACACTAACGAGTTGAACGGGCTAACATGGATGAAGGCAGTATGAAGAATTCTTATCTCGTGCTGCAAGATAAATAATTTCCAGTAGCAATTGATTTAACTACTCAATTTATATTCAAGAATATTAAGAATTTACAGATGGCCAATTTAATCACCTGTTATTAGGTGTTATCACGCTGCTTAACGAACAATCACCCTGCTATTAACACACTTCCACCTGATGCATCAAATAAAAGAATACTTAGCTGTGGGCACTGTATAAGTATTAAGATTGCCGTATTTCGCATCCCAGGCTCCGGTGAACCTATCCTGGGTAGTTATGCGTTTCAGCTGGCTGATCACGTGTCGTCAGGAACCAAGTCAAAGGGCTCCTTATTTAACACCAGCACTAGTTGAAGATATTATCTGCAAGGTTGTTCACGCCTCAAAGTGGCGGCTTTCATCTGTGGATGGATAACACCAGTCCTATTTGCTGGACAATGGCGTATTCTTATGAGTACGGTAAGCGCAGGTTTGCTTCCTTTCAGCTCTGCACGAGTCCGCGTACTGAGGAGGATGGCGTCCCTCCAACCCACGCCGAGTCGACGTTCATAAAACAAATTATTGTCTCGAACATTAATATTTCTCGCATTTGCGTTTGAAACGTTAAAGACTGGACGGGTTTATTATTTAGAGGAACACATTATTATTATTTACCAATTTAAGAATAGTAAATATATAAGGGAGAGGAATTAATGTCTCCCCATGGCATTCATTGATGACGTTAACTCTATCGCGAGGTAGACGCTATGATTCTAACGCTCTATTCGGCTTTTAGTTAGAGAACAATTCGTCTGCAATCAGTTGTCATACAGAACGCTTTAATTATGGAGAATCGTATTTAATTCTCACACAAATTGGATAAAATGTGTTTACTGTAAGGAAATCTGACGCAGTACTGGCGTCAGGTGACGTGAGAATTCTAGCCTAATGCACAGATGAATTATTAGTACAGGAGAATTCTACGAGTTGTTAATTTTACTTACTACAATATTTAGTATGGTTAGTAATAAGTAATGAGAATACAACAATGCTGTATTCGATGTTGGAAATATCCAACACGATGTGCCTCTGTGACGACTGTGCCTCCCTTATCCGCGGGTTTAATCACGATGTCCGTTCTCGACTTCAGTGTCGCCAAGGCTTCCCTCTCCTCTCGCGGCAGGTTGCAGTTGTGTCTGCTCTCTGTGTCCCATCCGAGTTCTTCCTTCAGGTTCTGTATCACTGACCTCAGTCCTACCAGGTTGTAACTCGGTCGCGGTTTCGTTTCTCTTGCGTGGAGGTACCTAAAAGAAAGAGAGTTTAGTTTTTGGGGTTGCCCGTTGTAACTTGCGTTGCTCCGGCCGGAGGTTGCTCCAGACTTGATTGATACTGTGTTCCAAGCTGTTGTCGAGGTCCTCAATGGTGGCCTGTCGTATCTTGCGTGCTGGCGAGCCTATCACAAACGTAAGACCCCTCTCCAGCAGTTTCCTTTCATACTGGGTGAGGGGGACTTCCGAGATGACTGTTTGTTTTAGTTTTCCCTTCCTCTGTTGTAGTTAGCGTTGTTTCCGTTTCTTCTCTGACCTCCATCGTTCCACTCTGCGTCTCTGCCTCCTCCTTGCTGGCCTCTGTTCGTGCTGTTCCAGCGTCTGATCTTGTTCTTGTTCCCTGCATGACGTCTGTTGTCCCTGCCTCTGTTGTCGTACCTGCCCCTGTCTCTGTTCTTTCGGAAAAAATTATGTCCCCCTATTGTTATAATTACCTTTATCGTTAGGGCGGTAGTTCTGCTTAGGGGAGGGGTCTCTGTTTTTATACCCTATGTTTCCTCGATATCTGTCCCTGTTATTCCTTGCTGTATTTTCCCACCCAGCTCTGGATCTGTCTCGACCGTTCCGCCCTCCGTAGTTTGTCCATGAGTCATCTCTTTGGCGTGTCTGTCTGGAAGGGCTCTTCCTCCGGTTTTGTTCTGTGGCCTGGTTAGGGGTCCTAGGTTTTGGGGGAAAGACAGGTTTGCTGGGAGGGGGCATTCCTTGGTTAGGACGTAGGCCAATGTCCTCGTCATCCAAAAGCTCAGGTATGGACCTGGGGGCTGCCTGGGATTCCCGCTGCTCAGGCTGTTGGTTCACTAGTTGCCCGTGGTTTAGCTGTTGGTTCACTGGTTGCCCGTGGTTTAGCTGTTGGTTCACTAGTTGCCCGTGGTTTAGCTGCTGGTTCACTAGTTGCCCGTGGCTTAGCTGTTGGTTCACTGGTTGCCCGTGGTTTAGCTGTTGGTTCACTAGTTGCCCGTGGTTTAGCTGTTGGTTCACTGGTTGCCCGTGGTTTAGCTGTTGGTTCACTGGTTGCCCGTGGTTTAGCTGTTGGTTCACTGGTTGCCCGGGTTTAGCTGCTGGTTCACTAGTTGCCCGTGGTTTAGCTGTTGGTTCACTAGTTGCCCGTGGTTTAGCTGCTGGTTCACTAGTTGCCCGTGGTTTAGCTGTTGGTTCACTGGTTGCCCGTGGTTTAGCTGTTGGTTCACTGGTTGCCCGTGGTTTAGCTGTTGGTTCACTAGTTGCCCGTGGTTTAGCTGTTGGTTCACTAGTTGCCCGTGGTTTAGCTGTTGGTTCACTAGTTGCCCGTGGTTTAGCTGTTGGTTCACTAGTTGCCCGTGGTTTAGCTGCTGGTTCACTGGTTGCCCGTGGTTTAGCTGTTGGTTCACTGGTTGCCCGTGGTTTAGCTGTTGGTTCACTAGTTGCCCGTGGTTTAGCTGTTGGTTCACTAGTTGCCCGTGGTTTAGCTGCTGGTTCACTGGTTGCCCGTGGTTTAGCTGTTGGTTCACTGGTTGCCCGTGGTTTAGCTGTTGGTTCACTAGTTGCCCGTGGTTTAGCTGTTGGTTCACTAGTTGCCCGTGGTTTAGCTGCTGGTTCACTGGTTGCCCGTGGTTTAGCTGCTGGTTCACTAGTTGCCCGTGGTTTAGCTGTTGGTTCACTAGTTGCCCGTGGTTTAGCTGTTGGTTCACTGGTTGCCCGTGGTTTAGCTGTTGGTTCACTGGTTGCCCGTGGTTTAGCTGTTGGTTCACTAGTTGATCTTGGTTTGGCGATTAACAAAACCTCAATGCCAATAGTGACTGCCCAGACAGGTACAAGACGAGTGATGTCAACTCTTACGTCGCCCGTGCAATCAGCCACAGCTCAGGATGGAAGCAAATCGATGAAGAACTTTGTAGGGTAAGGCAGGTCAACAACGGCTTCTTTAATGGTTTTGTTGAAACATCATAAAAAGAAAGGTAGTACGCCTTGCAACCTCGAAGAGTCAACTAACACAACACATGTACCCCCCTATTAGACTATTTTACAGGAACTTCTTTTTGACAGCTCATAAAACGGAGGAAAGGGTCCTGAAAGATATTGTTAATAGGAACGTTATTCCTACAGACAAAAAAACAGAAAATACAATTGACGATTTACTATAAAAAAAGGCCAACCTACTCATGAAAAATTCTCTAGACACAAAGCAGAATGCCTCCTTGAAGTAAACCAACGTTGTCTCTGGCTTCAAATGCCCACTTGAGGACTGTAAGCCCCAAAGAACTCAGTATATAGGCAAGACAACAACGTCTCTTTCCAGGCGATAAACAATGCATAAACAACAGGGCTCCTTAAAGGAACATATAATCTCCTCTCACAACCAGACCATCACCAGAGAAGTCTTAACAAACAACACAGAAGTCATCGATATGTACAGCAATAGCAGGCGGCTCGACATCTGCGAGGCACTACACATCAAAAAGTCACCAGCAATCAACAGCCAATTAATGCACAACTATATTCTACCCACTTCAAGACTCCGAACCAATATAGAAGCATCAAGAGGAAGTATAGGGCAATAGGCCCTTTGCAGTTACTTCCATTCTTATGTTCTCATATCCAGTTAATACCCACAGTTTCGTGTTCTGTCTTGTATTTGTCACAAGTTTGTTCACCTCATCCAAAACTGTTGCACCATATCACCTCACCCAAATGCGAGTATAAGTATGACGGATTAGCTGACTGTTTAGTGTTTTCAGATAAGTATCCCTGTCCTGGATGACAGGGATACTTATCTATTGTTAAACAGAGATCCTACTGCAAAAGTGATTGCACATATTAACAAAACTTTCAAAACTGTGTGCAAAGGCGATAAAGAGCTGATTTCTAGGCTAACAAGTCTATCTCCGTCTCTACCTTACATGCATGGTCTTATTAAAACCCATAAACGAGATAATCCGGCAAGACCAATTATTAGTTCAGTTGGTTCGGAGGCTTATAAACTCTCTAAGTGGTTGGTCAAAATCTTGTCCCCTATAGTTGGTACTATTTCCAACTCAAACTTAACTAACAATGTAGACTTACTTAATAAGCTATCCACATTGAATTTAAATTTTGATTTTAAACTAGTAAGTTTTGACGTGACCGCTTTATTCACTAAAGTTCCTGTTGATGATTTGTTAGAATTCCTACGTGAGGAACTGCCCAAATATCATTTGAGCTTGCAGACCAATAGAGTGTTGGAACTTATCAAATTGTGTATAAAAGACAATTATTTTAGTTTTAATGGACAATTTTTCAAACAAACATTTGTAATGGTGATGGGCAATCCCCTTTCCCCAGTTTTGAGCAATTTGTATATGGAATTCTTCGAAACAAAAATCTTATCCGGGATAATCCCTGCTAATGTAATTTGGTTTAGGTTTGTTGATGATATTTTGTGCTTATGGCCGTGTGACCAAGACCAAAATGTTTTTCTTAATGAACTGAATTCTTTGGTACCTTCAATAAAATTCACTTGAGACTGAGGAGAATGGTACTCTTCCGTTTTTGGACATTATAATTCATAGAGTCAATAGAAAATTCAAATTTAATGTGTATAGGAAACCTACCAACGTGGGGTCATTTGTTCATTATTATTCGAATCATCATAGTAAAGTTAAATAGGCAGTATTTTCAGGAATGTTTCTTCAAGCTTTGAGGGTATGCAGCCCTGAGTTTTTTTTTATTAAGAGATTGCAAAAATATATGAAATTGGGAAGAGTTTACAATACCCTAAAATGTTTTTGGATTGCTCGTTGGGACAAGCTAAGCGCACGTTTTATAATCATGTCTCCAAAGCGAAGCCAGAAATTAGAAACTCATTGGTGGTACCTTATGCGATGGGACTTGGAAAACTTTCCCCGGTTTTTAAGAAACTTAATGTCAATTTGGTGTTCACTAATAGTACGATCAAGTCCAATTTAATAAAAAATTCTCCTGGTACAGCAGGTTGTGTGTATTCGATTCCCTGCAATGATTGTGATTCTGTGTACCTTGGACAAACAGGAAAGTCCTTACAATTACGGTTGTTCCAACATGCTTATAGTATTAGAACTGCCCAAACGTCTAGGGCATTGTATCTACACACACGAGTTTGTGTGATCACACTATTAAATGGGATGGAGCGAAAAGCATTACTAATTGCTGTGGTTTCGTGGAACGGAATTTGATCGAGTCTGCCTTAATCAGTGTCCAAATCTTGTCAATGTTAGTACTGGTATGCACAAACATGATCCATTTTTAAGTTACAATATTGCACAACAGTTTAAGAAAAAACTCTGAAAGGGTTACTATGTCTCATTTCAGTAGTATATTCATCTATTGTGTGTTCATTGAGGCTTTAATTTTTCATCCTTATTCTCTGACCGCTTAATCCTATTATTCTAAACTAAATCTATACCTGCTTCTGGGTAATTCTTTACCTGGTGATATGTGGTCATATTCAGGTGTTGACCTGTACCCTCCCTGTGTTTCTCCTGGTCAGTCTGGTGTTGACCTGTACCCTCCCTGTGTTTCTCCTGGTCAGTCTGGTGTTGACCTGTACCCTCCCTGTGTTTCTCCTGGTCAGTCTGGTGTTGACCTGTACCCTCCCTGTGTTTCTCCTGGTCAGTCAGGTGTTGACCTGTACCCTCCCTGTGTTTCTCCTGGTCAGTCAGGTGTTGACCTGTACCCTCCCTGTGTTTCTCCTGGTCAGTCAGGTGTTGACCTGTACCCTCCCTGTGTTTCTCCTGGTCAGTCAGGTGTTGACCTGTACCCTCCCTGTGTTTCTCCTGGTCAGTCAGGTGGTGTTGACCTGTACCCTGTCCCTGTGTTTCTCCTGGTCAGTCAGGTGTTGACCTGTACCCTCCCTGTGTTTCTCCTGGTCAGTCAGGTGTTGACCTGTACTCTCCCTGTGTTTCTCCTGGTCAGTCAGGTGTTGACCTGTACCTCCTGTGTTTCTCCTGGTCAGGTGTTGACCTGTACCCTCCCTGTGTTTCTCCTGGTCAGTCTGGTGTTGACCTGTACCTTCCCTGTGTTTCTCCTGGTCAGTCAGGTGTTGACCTGTACCTTCCCTGTGTTTCTCCTAGTCAGTCTGGTGTTGACCTGTACCCTCCCTGTGTTTCTCCTGGTCAGTCAGGTGTTGACCTGTACCCTCCCTGTGTTTCTCCTGGTCAGTCAGGTGTTGACCTGTACCCTCCCTGTGTTTCTCCTGGTCAGTCAGGTGTTGACCTGTACCCTCCCTGTGTTTCTCTGGTCAGTCTCCTGGGTGTTGACCTGTACCCTCCCTGTGTTTCTCCTGGTCAGTCTGGTGTTGACCTGTACCCTCCCTGTGTTTCTCCTGGTCAGTCAGGTGTTGACCTGTACCCTCCCTGTGTTTCTCCTGGTCAGTCTGGTGTTGACCTGTACCTTCCCTGTGTTTCTCCTGGTCAGTCTGGTGTTGACAACGCCTGTAAAACAGCCGAAACGTTCATCTTCCTTTCCAATATCTTTGTGAATTTTCCACATACACATACCAATGTGTATGTGGAATATATACATTGGTACTCACCTAGTTGGACTCACCTAGTTGTGCTTGAAGCAGTTGAGCTTTGGTCCCGTCTCTCAACCGTCAATCTACTGATGTACCGATTTCTGAGCTTCTCGAGGTCTATCATATCTACATTTGAAACTGTGTATGGAGTCAGCCTCCACCACATCACTGCCTAGTGCATTCCATTTACTAACTACTCTGACACTGAAAAAATTCTTCCTGATGTCTCTGTGACTCATTTGGGTACACAGCTTTCACCTGTGTCCCCTTGTGTGTACCAGCCGTGTTAAATAATCCATCCTTGTCTACCCTGACGATACCCATGAGAATTTTGTATGCGGTGATCATGTCTCCCCGAGCTCGTCTGTCTACCAGCGACGTGAGGTGCAGTTCACGCAGCCTTTCCTCATAACTCATGCCCCCTAGTTCTGGGACCATTGGTATTAGTGGGATCGAAGAACTATATAACATACTAAATTGTGCACGAAAGAATTTTAGAAGAGATAGAACCGAAGTTAATCAAGGACTTCTTAGAGCTGTCCGAGATCATGTGCACGAAGAAACAGCAAAAATCAAAGAAAAATGGCTAGAGTGGTGCGCCAAGCTAAATCAGCATACATCCTTGGGCGACATCTGGAGACAGATCTAAAGGAAAGGGCCAAAGGAATATCGCCTCCTGCTCCGCCACATCATGTTCATCTAGAGCAAGAAGCAGAAAGATTAGCAAATCTATTTGCTTCAAGAGGAAGTTCCACTCAACTTCCCTCAAGCACTTCTGACTCACCAACAAACACTTCAAGCAGCAAGATGGAAAAAAATTAGACGATGCTTTAGCCTTACCTGACGAACTAGAGCAACCAATATATTCATAATATTATAAATAGTAAAACTACCGAAGTCAACAAGGGGATAAATCAACAATAAATCACAAATAGGGGAACAGACAACCTCTACGCCACAAACCCAACATGGAGACGTGTGGAGGATGCTTTAAGCCACTTCGGAAGAGTGTTGTAGGGATTGTATGTAACATTTGTAACATAAGATTTCACCTGAGTTGTACAGAATTACCTACACAATATGCAAACAGACAAGGTACCTACTGGATCTGTCATAAGGATAGACTGATGTGGGAAATCATCACCAAAATAATGAACGGCATTCCTGAAGTACACAGGCTACAATTCACACAAAAGCTACCAGAAATGTATGCAGAGTATGTAAAAACAGCAACGAACACAGAACACAACCGTGTTCAGAGCTTTAGAGAGAGCTTAGAGAGCCACATTGGCAATGTAGAAGGACATTGTGTCGAGGTACACGAAAATGAAGGCAATATTGAAGAGCAAACTGGTAATAGGAGTAAGGAGAGAAACAATGAGAAGGACGAGAACACAAATGAGAAAGGCGAAAGCAACAAGGAGAAAGATAAGGGCAATACCGAGAATGAATGCGGAAACGAGAAAGATGGAACAAAAAACACAGAGGTAGCCAAGTCGTGCACGGGTGCGGACAATAAGAATACAATCACAGATGAAAATATTTGCAGGTATTATGCAAAAGGACAGTGTAGATATGGGCCCAGAGGCACGGAATGCTCATTCATGCACCCACGGAAATGCCGAAACTGGTTAGGGATAAATCACTGTTAAATAAATGTTATAAATAAATTCAGGTGGTGCCTTATCATATTGTACAGCAGGCTTAGTCCACCAGGTATAACTGGGATGTAGACACCAAATTATCCTCGTGTGAGGCAGCTTCCATCACCCATAGTAACTGATGTACCAAGATGAATTCTTTCTTCCTCTTCTTGTTCCTGTCAAAGGGCACTAGATGTAAAGCCAGAATCCTAATATATGACAGCTATATCAGATGAAACATTTATATATTATTAGATAAGGACCAAGGCTTAATTACCTGTATTTAGTGGCTCGTTCGTATTCTAACCGGAATTAATCATATCTACCTAACATTACGGGCCAATAATGACTTGGATAAGATTTCGGAAAGACACTTCCCTTGTGGTTGTTGACAGCGTGTTGATGATGGTAGAACACTAATTGATCTCCATAACACCTCCTCCAAGAGAAATAATAGGAGCTGAATTTGCTCCAGCCACTATGTTCTTAACCAACAATGGGTGACCTCCTACACCACTGACGCTCCTGGCTCACTTTGTCCAGATGCCAATAAGTGATACAAGGGTCACATTATTTTGATACTGATAATTAAGTTAATTCAAATGAGATGTTTTTATTATGTAATAAGTCCAAAGACTAATGTATTTAAGAATAATTCCCAACAGAATAGCTGGTGAATTTATAGTACTATGTGGCAATGATATCCCGTTTTCTATTGACGGAAAATTCAACTACAAGCTACATTTTCTATGGGTTAATTTGTGTATAGAACAGCAGCAATATTATCTGCCTATTGTATTAAATATTAGTACATGGTGTCGGGTTTTCAGACACCTGTTGACCACCTGGTGAGGTGATGGGAATTGGAGACGGGAGTTCCCCCTGTTTGACGTCCTCAAGTCAAACAGTGGTTGTGGAGCCCAGCTGTGAGGGTTGACGTGTGATAGGTCACAACAAGAGACACATTCAGTTGTGTGGTTATCTACAATTTTACTGTATCTCCAAGAGTGGAGTAAAGTGATTTTAATTGTTTCAATTTCTCTATTTTGTGCCGTGTTATTGCAGAGAGAATTCCTGTTCCAACAGTGAAGTGGTAACGGGAGTATTTCCCTTGGTTATTTGATAATTAATTATTATATTTGGCCAAGCGCTTTATAGTACTGTTGTGTTATGTAATAGCTGGGAATTATTGGTGTATAATTTACTGGGGAAAGCCAGTTGCAAATGTTGCCGGGAGTGGCAAAAGTTTTACTGTGTTGTACCGTGTTGTACCGTGTTGGACCGTGTTGGGCCGTGTTGGACCGTGTTGGACCGTGTTGGACCGTGTTGTACCGTGTTGTACCGTGTTGGACCGTGTTGGGCCGTGTTGGACCGTGTTGGACCGTGTTGGACCGTGTTGGACCGTGTTGTACCGTGTGTGAACTGTAGACAAGTTGTGTCCTTGGTGAAATGCGTTGTGTACTGTGAAGGACTCCATGAGAATTAAAGTCATTTAACGTCACTCTAGGACACGATTACTTAACGATGTTATTGTTGTTTTGTTGAACAGCTTTGTGATTAACGTAGAGCCGTGTAATTGCAACAGTCACTAGGATTTCATGCAGTGGAGGAATTGTCAAGAGAAGACTAACGTAGTGTTAACGAATTAACGAGCTGTCGTTAATTAAGTGATTGATTAACGTGATTGATTAACGTGATTGATAACGTGATTGATTAACGCGATTGGTTGATTGTTCTGCCATGATCGGAGTCAATTGCGCTGTCATTAAGCTGTCGTAACTGCACGTTGGAGTGATGGGATCTGTCTGCGGGCAGGGGGGGGGGATTAAGCACTCGTAGCTAATTAAGGAGAATTAGTATCCGCCACTTAGTGAATTCACACGTTGTTGATGTTGTTGTTTACATAGAGTATCTTGTAGCCTTGTGTGGTAAAATAGTCGAACTCCTCGTTAAGGTAATCTTGTTGTAAGACCGGAAGAGACTTGCCAGTTGGATGACAGTAGGCTTTGTCAATACTCGTCTGAATTCAAAGGCTGTTGTATTCAGTAATTAATTGGGAATTACTCACTGAATGCTTGACTTTCAAGTATGATGTAATTATTTGTTTACGAGTTACTGTTGCCCCTTAAGTTTCGTTGAGACACGAGTGTGTTAACGTAAATTGAATTGCTGCTGATCACTGTAGACGGTCAATTAACGTAATTGTTTAAATTCAATTAGAGTAACTTTTGTTGTTGTTGTCTTGAAAGACAAGTGTTAACGTAAGATTTTTATAAGGGGTAATTATTCTTGGATTAACCGCCTTGTTACTTGGTACCTCGTTGGTAGAGCAGCGAGCGCTACAAGTTTTGTGATTATAGTATTTGTTCACGGTGAAGTCGTGACAATATTGATTGCAAGCTTGCGTCACCAGTGGGCACCACTCTGTTCAGTTAGTGTCATTGTTCAGTCAGCGACGACGGGATAAGGATACCGTAGGTCCATCAGGATAGTACATGTTGAATAGCTGTTCTTGATTGTGCCACTGGAGCGACAGTAAAGTAATGTAAAGTCGGTGTTGTAGTAGCTCAAGTTTTGTTGAATAAATTACTATGTTTCTAGAAGACGGTCGTTTAAGTCAAACCTCCTAAGATTATTGTCCCACATTTCATGTTCTGCAACGCTATGCCTGCTTATGGCAATTAAGTCTATATCTAAAGCTAGAGTCCATTGCACAGCACCACACATCAAATTTACAAATTTGGAGTGAGAATCCATCAGCTACCCTCTATTGGTTTTTAACTAGGAGGAGCCAACGACCTAAGTGACAGGTTTCACCCGTGTGGTGGCGCCTGGCGGTTTGCTCCCGCTTGTCCTATGATCTTAGGCTATAAGTTAAACATCTGCCTGTGGCAGCTCTTGCTGTTTAAGGTCTGCCTCTTTTGCGAGGGAGTTACGATTAACGTAATATCAATAGGAATCAATTCTTTTGATTACGTCAAATAAAAAAATCTCACGTCAATGGTCCATTAAAAACAAAGGGGAAGATAGACCATATCAACACTTTCGGCAGCCTCCTCCATGGGAAGACTCGAGTCTAAAGATAATCATTTAAGGATTACCAGATAAAAAATCAGCATGTGAATCGCACAGGCTCAAAGCAGTCGTAGAACAACAAATGGAAACCATCTCAAGACCTACAACCACTCACATCTTCACAGATGGATCTTCTTCTTCTTGAGAGTAGGTGCAGTTTGCATTAAGGGCTTACCCTCCCGATGACTGCACCAGGACAGATGTTGGGAGACGCGTTGACGTTGAGGAGGAGAAGAAAGTCAAAAGTGTTAGTTGCGTCGGGTCGTAGACAGAGGATTGGCGACGTAAACAGAGGTGGATGTTAGAGGGAGACTCACCCCACCGTAAGGCGGGATGTCAAGTTCACGGCGGCAGCTGATCCAAGCATGGCGTAGCGGTGTGCACAAGACATCTACTAATATTTCTCCGGGAACTTGTATATCAGAAAGCGCAAGCAGTACGCGTCCTAGATTACCCACGTATCTGGGGACACCCGGCCACCAGGTGGTGCCTTCGGCTGAGACATCTTATCTGGCATCTTATAAACAAACTCCTTCACCCGCGACACGCAGACAGTGAATGAGCACAGCGGGATCAGAAGCACCCGGGCATCCCGATAAGGAACCAACACCTGACCCTTACAGGTCTCGACCCCGGCAGCAGGGACTAGGCTTCCCGCAGACCGGGGCAATGAAGGAGGGGGGGAACCGCAGGGGATGCAGGCACGCATCGACCCCACCACTGGGCACAGAAGCCAAGGCCCGCCAGCGCACATCTTTCCGCAACACCACGACAAGGTCCTGATCATCAGGGGCAACCCCCCCCCCCCTGCAGGGATCCAACTGCAGGAGGTGCAGAGGGGGGGGGGGGCACAGGTAGCAACTCGGATCCCCTCACAGCACCATCATCCACGGCGGGGAACGCCAGATCACCATTCTTCCCCACCAACTCCCAAGGCACACCATGAAGGGGAGACACACTCCGGGCCCGCCGCGAACGCTTCGAGACAGGCCGCACCACACCACGCCCTCCAGGCCCCTCCGCAGGCACGGCCACCATCTTCACATCTACACAGGCCACACCTGCACCGTCCGAAGAGTATTGTTACGGCCCTCTTGGGTCGCAACTGGGTTCTTACTCTGATGTTAGTAGAGTTTGGGTATCCGGCCCCAAGTTAGTAGTGGCTTTCAAGGGGTGTGCTCCGTAACGCAAGTAAATTAAAGGGGAAGGGATAAAACTGCACTTAAACTTAAATATATAATTATTCCATCACCAATAAATAAGTATATAAACCGTCACAAGCGGGGTTGCTATTACTACACTTATTTACAATAACTTCTTCTTCGAAGGCACGGGATGCTCCACGGTGCTCAACGATGCTAAGCCCTTGATCCTCTTCTCGTGGCCTCTCGATTAGATCCTTGGATTCTCCTAGCGAGTCTACCCCGGCCACAGGCCAGCCAAATCACAGTTCCACTGGGTGAACCGTCGCGGAGGCCTTCAACCACAAATCCAGCCTGTTGCTGGCAGGTTCCAATCAGCTACGCTGCGTAGGCCACTCCACGACCGATACTAGGGTTGCGAGCCCTAGGCTGGAGCCTCATGTGATTCCACAGATCACTCTCCTCACCACAACACCCCAGTGGCTAGTCTTCTCCACCAGTCAGCCCCAGGTACGACAATCCCTGGTTCTGCCTCCTCACAGGCAGGCTAACACAACAGTGTTCATCCGGGGGGGGGGGGGGTGACTTGCAGCTTCAGCAGCAAATGCGTGGAGGTTCTACAGCTGCCTTGGGTAGACTGATCCAACGTCCACTACAGCAGTCCCAGGTCGACTCTGTAATCAGACACGTCATCAGTACTGGTTACACTCTAGGGCACCTCACTTACAGGCTTAGACACAAACGCCCAGATGGCGTTGCTGTCTAAGCATCACCTCACCAGAGGTCAGCAGCGGCTGTATTATGAGCTGAATAGGATGGGAAACTAGCCCTTGTGGCCGGTATATCTCGTCCTCACTAGATGGCGTCGTCCATTTGGAGGGGGCTTCGGGAGCTGACCCACAGATGGCGCGGTCGTCACTGCTCCGTGCTCGGACGCTGGGCTCGGGTCCGTAAGAAGTATACAGAGGCCACATCGCCCCGCACTGTCCACATCATCCAGGAAAACAGCCTCAGAACACCGATGCGCACACTTCTGCAAATGGATGGAAGAAGCTGAACTACAGTCGCCAACAAACACAGGCACGGCAGACACCTCCCCCGGCCGAAGCACCCCCTCCAAAACAGCAGAACCCACGTTCCCGGGAGCCGGTACCATATCCACAGGCAGGGGCAGTACATGGACCTCCACTGGGACATCCCGTACACGGAGCGCAGGTGACGGCCCGACACCCACACACACACCAGCTCAACAACACCAAGGGCCACAGCAGTTACCAGACGTGTCGCACAGGCCGTAAAAAATCCTCCACACGAAAAACTTGCACCCGATCAGTCGCTCCCACGTCGCACGCAGCAGCCAGATGACCGTCGTGGCCACACCTATAACAGGTGCGCGCTTGCCCCCGATATAAGCAGCGGAGCGTGTAACCCAACACGGACATCGACGATGGTACACACACTTCAGCGACATCGTCAGGGTGCGGGAGCCATCAAGCATACCAGCACAGTGCCCGGCAAGGACCTTGTTCCAACGAATACTTAACCCTGCCCCAAATTGTTCAAAACAGGAGGTTAAAAAGTCGTCCTGAAATTCGAAGGGGGCTCCATGTACCGCCACAGACGTCAAGGTGACACTAAGATTCACCACCTTAACAGAACCAGCAGTATCAGGGAGAGGGTAAACACGCCCCTCACACCGCTCGGGAAACACCTGAAAGGTAGCCTGGAGGTGGAACTTGACCACAGCACGGTGGCCCTGAAGCAGCTGGACGCCCACGAGGTCCGACAGCCGACAATGTCCTCTTCACTGGAGGGCGAGAAGTCCCCATGGCTAAGTCAAATGTCACCCTGTCAGTGGCAAACCACCACCAGCAATCACCCAACGTAAACACTAGCCAGGAGCGGAGAGACCTCAGGAACGTCCGACCTGGCCGGTGTTCACCACGCAACTCGCAGATGGATTAGTTGATCAAGAAAGAAGTTCTGATGGGGCAGCAGTTTACATTATCAACTATGAAGCTTACTGGAGCATGAATAGTGGGTGCTAAACATTGCAAACAGAATTATATGCCATGAAGGAGGCCATAAATTACACAATTGAGAATAACTTTCATGATGTCATCATTCATACCGACTCTACATCTTTGCTTCAGGCATTGTTATCCAGCCAGCACAGAGATAATATACAACTCCTCACAGAAATCCTACAGATAGGAAAACAAGCCCACAATCTAAAGCTTTCAATCACCCTGAATTGAATACGAAGTCACATTAGCATAGATGGTAATGCAAAGGCAGACTCACTAGCAAAAACTGCCGATGTTCTACCTGTTGTACAGGTTAAAATACCTCCAAGTTTTTTCACATATTAAGGAGCAAATCAAGTAGAAAATACTCCCAACTATCAAAAGTCGCCACAGAGCCAAAGTAGCGGAAGGAAGATCCACTGCGATGTGGTACGAACAAGCCACTGGGCTCTCACTACTCTTTTAAGCCTGGCAAAAAGATACCCAGAGACATTGCAGTAGCCATACACAGACTCAGACTTACCTTGAGGTTACCTTGAGGTGCTTCCGGGGCTTAGCGTCCCCGCGGCCCGGTCGTCGACCAGGCCTCCTGGTTGCCGGACTGATCAACCAGGCTGTTGGACGCGGCTGCTCGCAGCCTGACGTACGAGTCACAGCCTGGTTGATCAGGTATCCTTTGGAGGTGCTTATCCAGTTCTCTCTTGAACACTGTGAGGGGTCGGCCAGTTATGCCCCTTATGTGTAGTGGAAGCGTGTTGAACAGTCTCGGACCTCTGATGTTGATAGAGTTCTCTCTCAGAGTACCAGTTGCACCTCTGTTTTTCAACGGGGGTATTCTGCACATCCTGCCATGTCTTCTGGTCTCATGTGATGTTATTTCTGAGTGCAGGTTTGGGACCAGCCCCTCTAATATTTTCCACGTGTAAATTATTATGTACCTCTCCCGCCTGCGCTCAAGGGAGTACAGTTTTAGGCTCTTTAGTCGGTCCCAATAGCTTAGATGTTTTACTGAGTGGATTCTAGCAGTAAAGGATCTCTGCACGCTCTCCAGGTCAGTAATTTCTCCAGCTTTGAAAGGTGCTGTCATTGTGCAGCAGTACTCCACTCTAGAGAGCACAAGCGTTTTGAAAAGTATCATCATCGGTATAGCATCTCTAGTGTGAAAAGTTCTTGTTATCCAACCTGTCATTTTTCTTGCAGTTGTGACGGCTACTTTATTGTGTTCTTTAAAGGTAAGGTCTTCCGACATGAGTACACCCAGATCCTTTACATTGCCTTTTCGTTCTATGTTATGATTTGCCTGAGTTTTGTACGTGGTTTCCGTTTTTATATTTTCATTTTTTCCATAGCGCATGAGCTGGAACTTATCTTCGTTAAACACCATATTATTTTCTGTAGCCCATAGAAAGACCTGATCTACATCTGACTGGAGGTTCGCCGTGTCCTCTATGTTGCCTACTCTCATGAAGATCCTAGAGTCATCTGCAAAGGATGATACAGTGCTATAGGTTGTGTTCTTGTCTATGTCCGAAATGAGGATGAGAAAAAGTACTGGAGCAAGCACAGTACCCTGGGGGACTGAGCTCTTCACGGTTGATGGGCTGGATTTTATTTTGTTGACTATTACACATTGGGTTCTGTTGGTCAGGAAATTGTACATCCATCTGCCTATTTTTCCGGTAATTCCTTTTGAACGCATTTTATGTGCAATAACACCATGGTCACATTTATCAAAAGCTTTTGCGAAATCTGTGTAAATTACATCCGCGTTGTTTGTCTTCCATAGCATCTAATGCCATATCATAGTGGTCCAGCAACTGCGACAGGCAAGAGCGCCCTGTTCTGAAACCATGTTGTCCGGGGTTATGGAGTTGCTGTGATTCCATGTATTTTGTGATTTTACTTCTTAGCACTCTCTCAAAAATTTTTATGATGTGCAATGTTAGCGCTATCGGTCTGTAATTTTTTGCCTCTGCCTTATTTCCTCCTTTATGAAGTGGTGCTATCTCTGCTGTTTTTAGTACATCAGGAATAACGCCAGTATCTAGGCTTTGTCTCCACAGAATGTGGAGGGCCTGCGATAGTGATTTTTTACAGTTCTTTATGAATATGGAGTTCCAAGAATCCGGGCCTGGTGCAGAGTGCATAGGCATACTGTTTATGGCTTCTTCAAAATCCAGTGGGGATAGGGTGACGTCTGATATATGATTTGATGTTGGTAT